GCTGGCCACTGTCCTTGGCACCTAGTAGGCTGCTCAACATCTATTTAAATTGTTGAGTGCCTACTATGTGTCAGGTATTACACGAAGTATGAGAAATACAGAGACATAAAACACAATCTCCAACTTCAAGAAGCTCTTAAAGGTTGGAACTGCCACAGAAAACTCCAAGAGAGAGGTGAGTCACGGGCAAGGAAGGAGATGTAGGCAGGTGTAAAGGAGGTACCAAGAAAGGAACCAAAGGCACAAGGGCAGGAATGAAACAACACCGCAGCCCATGATGGAGAGTGAGTGGGGCCACTGAGGAGATGCTACCTCCCAAAGCAAAGAATCAAGAGAAAGTGAAAGTGAGCAGTGAGAAAGTGAAAGTAAGAAGCCAGAGAAAAGGCTGGTGGATTAAAGAACCTATTTACTCACTTGGAAGGTGAATGTGTGGGACATCTGACTAACATTGTTATAATTCTGAGGATGGATGTCACAGGAGGTATTTATACTGCAGCTAATTTGCCTAGTGGAAATAAACCAGTTGGCTCATGGTTGTGCAGCTTATCATCAAGATTATTAAGGAACTATTCGACTACATGCCATTCTTTCTGATTACCACAATTTTCCCCAGGCATGTTTATACCAATATTGGTCTTCAAAAAGTGCATGGCATTTATAATATGGCAGGCATCAGGAAAAACAAAGTAAGTTTTATTGTGCACTTTCTTTGATTTTCTTAATAGTAATGACAGAATATGACAGTATTTTAACGAATGGTGGTGCTATCAATTGTGTGAATTAGAATACATTAAACAATGCTTCTGGGAGGCAAAGGAGGTTATTAAAGAATACTTAGGCAGGTAAAAAAAAAAAGCCTGGAAAAAATGTTCCCCTGGGCCTGGGGAAACCAGCTAATAGATAATATAGGGAGTAGATGGAAGCTGTATTCCAAAGTAATTTTCTTTATGACTGAAAATGTTTTAATGACTAATTTTATTCTCTTGTTGTAGGTAGAAGCCTTTAGTATATTATAATCAAATGTACTCAACATGGACGTTTTGTATTATATATAGTACAAATAAGAACCAACAGTTTGGGGAAAACATGGTGAGATTCTTCCCTTTGGTAGTTCTATTTTTACAAAATAAGAAACAGATGCATTACAAGGTGAGTCTGAGAATCCTAGACATCAGTAGAAATAGACTAAATATGAACCTAGCTGGGCCTCTCCAAAGCCTTAAGCTGTCATTCTTTTACTAGTCTAACATAGTTGAATTGCACGTGGGATTTTTTTTTGACTTCTCATCTGCATGATCTCAGACACGGACTAACCTCTCTGAATTTTTAGGTGCCTATGTCATAAAATCTTAATAAGAAAACTTATCACATACAGGGTTGTTGGGTGGATGAAATGAAATCAACACTATGATGTATATAAATTGTTTAGCATAACGCTTTGCAGCCCCCAAGGATGGACTAATAGTAGATAGTTATTATCACTGATATTTCTGCAATATGATTATTAATTGACTGTACTAGAAATATGCTGGATTTAGTCAGAAGACCTATGTTTCAGTCCCAGATAAGCTTACCAGCTTACTATTTCCTGATCTATAAATGGCAATATTATGGTGATAATAGTGTCTGCTTTGCCTAAATCACAAAATTATGGGAGGCTCCAAAGGTAATGCATGTGCAAACTGTAAATGGTTAAATGAATTAAGGTATTTTCTCCTCTACCATATATACCCAAATGAAAGAAACTCAAGTGTAAAGCCATTTGCCTTTAGTGCACCATGAATATAATACTATTCACTCTATTAGCACAAATAAAAAAGGAATATATTAAGTTTTTCAGTAATGGTGACTTACTCTAATATCCTGAGTATGACTCTTTACAGTTAATATTACATCTATATCTTACTGTTATAAAGGTAAGTCTTGTAAACACCTAGAAGTACATATACAAATCTCTCAAAATTAAAACATGACTACTAAAAATGTGAATATAAACAGACTATTTCTACCACTACATCAGGTAGTAGAGTCATACATTTACTATTTATAACCCCGATACAAAGATAATCCAAGAGCAAACATGTTGTTTAAAAATAATCAAAAAATTGTAATGCAGTTAAGGAAAAGAAAAAAATTCTCTAAATTGTTGGGCAATATCAAACAGAATTTGGAAGTATATCAAAGTTAATTTTAAATTTTTCACTTGAATTATAAGAAGTCTGGATATATATTTTTTTCTTTTTTCTTTTTTCTTTTTTTTTTTAGACAGGGTCTCACTCTGTCATCTAGGCTAGAATGAAATGGTGTGATCTCAGTTCATTGTAGCCTCTAGCTCCCAGGCTCAAGTGATCCTCCCACCTCAGCCTCCTGAGTAGCTGAGGCACATTCCACCATGCCGGCTATTTTGTGTGTCTGTGTGTGTGTGTGTGTGTGCACGCGTGTGTGTGTGTGTGTGTATGTGTATGTTTTGTAGAGATGGGTTTTCGTATTGTTGCCCAGGCTGGAACTCTGGATATTCTAGCATGACAAATGTTGCTCGTATAAAAAATTACAGAAGACCTGTCCAGAGCTCAGTGGTGGTTGGATTGACTGGAGGCCAGTGGAAATTATAGCTCGGATTTTCACCAATTTAACCCTCCCTCCTATTTTTTGGACAAGAGCCAGGTAAATGTTATTTCTCCTCAACATGCAGAATAGGAGAGAGAGAATTTAAATATTCTTCATGTCCTGTAGCTAATATCTGATGATTTTAAGAGCAAATATTTAGGTTAGAGAAAAAGCAGCCTCAGGAAAGTACTACAAGTAAGCTGTGGAGAGAGTTAAAATACATTTTATCTGTGCATAATTGGCCTATATATCATTCCTTGTTGATTCCTTTGTTCTCTTTTTTTCCCTCGCCTGAAATTTAAGACTATGAACAAGATGCCACAGAGATGAGAGGAGACTCAAAAGGGGAATGGTTGCTAATACGATTTATCCAAACATTATTAGGATGATTGGTTAGGAAAAACAGTGAACAGATATTGGAATGCAAGGATGGCTTTGGTCTTGAGATATAAAAATGAAAGTAGGCTTGAGGATTCATGATGTGTATCATACAGTTCCTGCCCCACAGGTGACATAGGATGTGGTAGAACAGGACAATCCGTGATTTGTTTGCTTGATTATCAACTAACATTCTCTACTCCTTTCTATCTGTAGTAATTATTCCTAACTGATATATTTCAGCGCAAAGCCCCTTAATAAATGGTAAACACATAACAATAAGTTTAAAAGGCCAAACTCCTAAGAGGAGTTCAAAATAGGGCAGGCAACATATCTGTGTTTGCTGGAAAGAAAAGCTTAGCTAACCTCTGAGAGCAATATATACATTTTTAAGGCAGTTCAAAGGTCTGTTTCATTTCTGTGATTTTTGGCATTGAGGATGAATGTCTAAAATATTTACAAGTGAAACTGACTAGGTTTTTATTTTAAAAAATACAACAGATTATAGCAAAAAGATTAAGGGCGAGTGGATGTACTGGTCTCTATGATTCTGGGATAAATAAACTCTATTTCTTGGAAAATAGTTTAAAAAGAAAAAATTCCCTCTCAGCCAGGAGATGGAAAGGACGTTCAAGCTCCCAACTACTTAAAGTTGTAAACAGTGTGGTTGTGAAACAGCAGTAAAGAACAACAAGGCCCTGTAAAGTTTCAACAAGAGGGGTGGGTGTATAATAAATAATAAAAATGCCAGATACAGCTATAAAAATAGAGAAGTGTGTGTATCCATAGGAAACAGATCATGCAATAGAGAGAAGCACTCATCTACAATCATGTGTACAGAAGTCAAGTCAAAATATTCAAAATTTAACAAAAATGAAATGTCACCCAAACACTCTCAAATAACATGTGCATGAACAAAAAGAACATCCACAGTCCAGGATGTAAAACCCATGTGAAAAGTGTATCCTATGAGCCAAATTCTCCTAATAAACTGGTGTCCCCTTGGAAGGGAAGGAGCACCATCCCCACCTGTAATGGAGGTGCAAATGGGCTGACAGTGATTTCAGTGGAAATTCTGCACCCACAGAGAGGCCTGTGTGTCTTTGTTCTACACCTGCTGAATGCAAAGAGCAAGGCTCTGAGGTTAGGAGAAAGCAGGTGTCCCTTCAAATCTTGCACAGTCAGGTTCTGGGGTGTTCAAGGTCTTGAACATGATTCCTTTTGCCTGCAGCAGGGTCAGAAAAATGCCATTTCTTATCTCTCTGTCTAGCCTTTCTTGGCTCAATCTCTGTCTGGTCTCCAGTTATTTACTTAGTGTTAGACTTTTCTATATTTATAATTCCCAGCATGGAGTATGGAGCTCTTTGGAGAAAAGATGTTACTTAGATTGTTTTACTCATTTAGGTTAAAAAACATCAAACAAGGCTGTACTTGCAGCTCCTTAGAATATAGTTATATGTAAACAAAAATTGAAAACTGATGTTTAGAATCACAAGTTTACATTTAGGAACAAAACGAAGACGTGTTGTCAACAAATCAAAATGGAAACTATATGGTGTAAGAAGAAATCATATCTGAGGTATATCTGTATTAAAGATGACAAAGACAGGTAACAGATAATAGAGGAAATCCTGATATGAATAAGAAGATACAGCTACTCATCCATGTACCAAAAGAGGTAATATCTATGAAATGATTCAAAAGAATAAAGACTTTCTAAGATAAAAGGGAATCTTTTGGAACTGTACAAGTGAGATATACTTTCTACTTCTTACATACAATATATACATTTAGAAAAAAGTAAATTCAAATATTTAAGGATGAAGCAAAAGAAAGTATTTTTTAAATGAAGATCAAGTTTTAGATGAATTTTGTGAGCCCCGCAAACATAATAATATCCAGAAATAAAAATAATTCTTTTGAAGAAAATAAGGAACTATTACTATTAACAAAATTTTTCTTTTACTATTCTACATGGTTTACCTTCTGGTTCACATTTTCAAGAAGTTTCTTACCTTGGCTGACTGTTCACCTTTTCATGTTTTCCATTGAAGTTCAAACTACAGAGGTTTTTTGATTTTGAATGTGAAGAGTCTGATTCCAAATTTGCCTGTGTTTGTTCTTTCAAACGATCATGAAGTGTTGCCTCCTTTTTCAAGTTCATGTCCGAATACGGGCAGCCAAAAGCACTGGTTTGTATAAAAATGAAAGCACCGTCATCAGTATATAGTGATAAATCAGGGATCCACTGTCATTGGAGCAGACTTACATCTAATATTTAAAAATTACATAGAAACATTCTTCTTTCCCTAAGCACACTCAAATAACAGTTTCTTTTCATATTGCCTTTTGAGAAAATCTTAGGTTCTAGAACCACAGACACTGGTCCACAAAGAATTATACACAGATTCATCAGTACATATGGTATTTACAATTTTGGAAACTTAAAAATCTAAGAATAGCATAGAGCTGTACTTCCAATGGAACAATGCAAATGTCACATAACACTTGACTCAGTTTATATCATCAATATGGATTCCCTGGTTTGACTATATCAGAAAAGACTATGGGTAACTAAGCATATTTGCTGGTATCAGAGAATGTTGTGTTTTCATTTCTTAATATTCATGTATGCAGAAACACTCTATCTGCAGTTCTGCTTAATCCTCCAGAGCTTTGCTGGGAAGTTTTCTGCTGGGGTGTGAAAGGATACCTTGTAGGTGAGAGAGGTGAGGCCCAAGCCCAGTCCTGCTGAGTCTCTTCTCTCCCCTCAAAGTCAAGGCAGAGTCCTGAATCCTGGATGCTGTCAAAGCCCAAGAGCAGGCTATGGGCAGAAGGATCTGCCAGGGCCAATGACCTGGTTCCTTCTGCAGGCTGATAAGCTGTCTTCATTGGATCCCTTTGCCTGCATCCCTGTCTCCAAGGAGGCCCCAAGCCTCTCCCACTGCCAGAAATGAGGTAGCCACACCAGGGAAGACACACATAAGACAGGCTACTTGTACACTACCCTGGGGAAGACATTTATGCCAGAGCTTCAGAGATTCTCCCCAGTGAAATCAGAAAAGCAGATCCAACTCATAAAGGTTGTTGTGACCCTGAGAAATGACAAACACATGCATGCACACACACGTGCATGCACGCACTCATACATGCACGTCATGAAATGGTAGCTGTTATCGCCATCACAGTGTTAAATCAGCTACATCTAGAGGAGCACGTGGTCAAATGCATCAACATCAAGGCAGTTGGTTCTTTTTTGAGATTTCACTTCCTACTCACTGTAAATTTGCTGATACATGGTACAAAATAAGTCCATTCTGAATACACGAAAGCTTTCTTTTATTTTAAGGTCATGCTAAAATTGTGGACCAGGACAGATTTCTGGTCCACAATTTTATCATGAGCCCAGTGAACATAATAAAAATAGATTGGATTTTTCTGGAGAAGGCCATACACATTCTAACCCCAAAGGGACTTTAGTACCAATATCTAGAATGGACTCTGGAACTGGGGACAGGATGGTTAAGATGATACTAGCTTGGCTCAGCCTGATCTAGACCTGTATCAGCAACCTTTACTACAGAGAGAAGGGCCCCTTTTACATGCATGTTCTATAATTTGTAATAATTGGTATTGATCTATTGGTTTATTAATCTACTTTGTTCTTGCTATCTCCTTCCCATGACATGACTTTCGTCTCCTAATCCTAAACACAGGATGTAAGGCTCCACTTCCCAGATGCCACCTGGCCAGTCTTCCATGTGCTTCTTGCCCTGAATTATTCCCTGCCAGGTGCTGTGCCTGTTAACTGGGAACCCTCCCTTCCTCTTGGATTCTTCCCAGGGGCTCTGATTCCAAGAGTCTAGATGGTGATTACTGTTGCCAAATCCCTTGGATACCAGGTTCTGCTCTTCAACTATACCCTCCTCTTGCATCAACAATGTTTCATTTTCTCAGACCCAAACAGAAGATTTGATTTCCACTTCTCTCTGACTGCCCTGCTCTGCTAAAATGGTGGATGGTGCTCTGTCACATCCTGGAGATGGGCAGTTCACAGCAGGAGGTTATAACCAAGTTGCCATGACTTACCTAAGGGTAGCTTCCCAGCCTGTGTGTGGCTACACCCTCAGGTGACCAGGGGATTCTGGGGTACCAGAGTCCCAGGTGAGCCCTTCCAGAACTGCAGCAGCCTCAAGGCTCTAAGCCCCATCTTGTTCCCAAACACTGATGGTCATTTTTTCTCTGTGACATGACATTTTAAAAGTTGGAAAGCATGACAAATTTAAGCAAAATGGCAAATAGGAAATAGCCTCTTGAGTGCTGTAGTTCGAAACATAACTAAATAACCCAGAAGTCAGCAGTATTTCAGGAAGGGTGTCAAGTTATTGACAACCTTTCTTGGGATCCTGAAAAATAAAGTCACCTGAAATAGGCAAGTATCTCCCAAGAGGGGCTCAGATGTGGAAATGTGGCTTCCTATAGCCCAGGAATTAGACACACAGTCAGATAGTAAAGGGTTCTCTAAATGCAACTAACTCACCCCTCCGTGAAGCCTACATTATTTTATATTTTAGTCTCAATTATTTTGCTAACCAATTATACTCTTTTCCTTCAAGAGGCAGGTAAGATAAGACTGAAGAGTCCTCTCTTAGCTGAGAGGTCAGATTCTAACAGGTGCTATGTCTGGGTGGGTGGGGGGTAACTCCATGTGGAAGTCTTCATGGAGAAGAAGGTTGGAGGCTTCCCAGAACCAAAGGACAGGAGGAAGCATGAGTAGTCATGCCTGTCAGATAACGAGAGGGCACTGAGACTTGGCAGAGAAAGGGGCTCAGCCATGGAAATGAGAAGGAAGAGGTATATGCTGCTTGTCTCACCATGTGGCCTCAGGTCCTGATGGCAGCAAGAGACTGTCCTGAGGCAGGTGGCTCCTGCGGAGGATTCTGGGAAGTTGCAAGCAGCATGGCTGCCTCCCACCCTTGGAAAGCAATGCCTTCCCGCCACATTGTTTCCCTCTCTGCCCTTTCACTTCATAAAAATAACCTGCCCCTTCTCAGAACTGTATTGTCTTTAGCATGCCGTGGTCTATTCTCACATAGTATAAAGATGTTAAGTGAACATCTTTTATTCTTACAAAATACTGATTGGCCAAATGACACCAAAAGACATACTAAATAACAAAATGCAGATTATTGAAGTTATGGAACAGTGAAAATACTTTTCATCTGACTGAAATGGTTGCTGATTTTACCTCTAGGAAGAGTAAGAGCAAGTACAGATGATATGTGTTGAGATGCGGACCAGGAAGTAAGAGCCGTCAGGAGTTTTTAACAACTGCTGAGCATGTGACATGATTTTTAGTATATTGTCTTCAAACACAGAGATAGGCAGGAGCTAAATATTACATATATGGAAGATTTTCAAGTTTCAGGGTTCATTTTCTTCAGATTCCTGTGGCTTTAAAATGAGTTTACCCAAGATATTTATCTCTTATTGCAACTAACTTTTGTCCACAAAATAGCTGATACTGTTTTGTCGCTTCATGTCCTCAAAAATTTAGTACACACAGAGTGAGAAAAAAAGTATAAATACTTTTTAAAGTTTCATAACAAGAGTAAAATATGAATCAATGAGTTCAAAGAGTTAGATGAAATGCATTTGGTTCTAAAAATATATTTCACTGGGTTAACACAGCTTGTGAAATCCTGGATATTAGAGTCATCTGAATATGGCCACTTAGGAAGTCAGAAGATAATTACTACCTACAGTAAGCATTCTAATCCGTTTAGTCCGGTGGTGGAAAGCGTGGAATTGAGAATTAGAGAAAACTGGAAGAAAGCTACTTGCTCTATAACCTTGGGCAAGTCATTGAACTCCTCAGTTTTTCATGTCCTCATCTATAAACTCGTTATAATGAGATCTATAGGGTTTTTTGTGTGTGAAAACTAAATGAGATAATCCATGCAAGTCCTCACATAGTGACCAGCACAAATTAAATGCTCATGAGTTTTTCATTTTTAAAGGCCTATTCTGATACAAAATATTAATTATCCCATTTGTTGTGGTTATTGCATTTTTCAATTCTAAAATTTCCATTTGGTTCTTCTTTTATTTTCCATTTCTTTGGCAAGACTTTCTATTCTTTCATTTGCTTTACATGTGTTAAAAATGCTTGTTGGCCCATCTTTATAATAGCTGCTTTAATTCTTGTGAGATGATTCTCACATCTGTGTCATCTGTTCATGGCCTTTTCTCACTCAACTTGAAATTTTCCTCATTCTTAGTATGAGTGATTTGGGGTTGACACTTGGACATTTTGGGGATTTTGCTGTGAGACTCTAGGTCCTATTCAGTCTTGTGTTGTGGGAGGCCTCCTCTCACACTACCTCAGTAGGGGAAGGGGGAACGGCCTTGTAGCTGTTATGTGGAGGTAAACATCCTCCCTAGGCACACACGGATGCCACCCTAGCTGAGAGGACACAGATCCATGTGGCTTCCACTGGCATCAGGGGAGGGGGGATGTGGGGGAGCAGTAGCCCTATTAATGTTGGGCTGTGAGGAAAGTCCTGACTCCAATGGCCTCCTGCAACAACACCCTAGCAGATGGGGACGGACACTGCATTACCACTGGATGAAGGCACAGGCCCAGGCTCCCAATGTGATCACCACTGATGCTGAGGGCAGGCTGTAACCACTAAGCATGGATGAAAACCCCGTCTCCCACTCAGCCTCTGTTGACACTGCCTTGGTTGGGGGAGGGGACTTGGGACCCCTTGTTCCAGCTCCACACTCAGTCTTCTGTGGGGATGAGGGTGTTTCCTGGGATGTTTGGCCAGAGAAAGGTGATTATTGTCTAAAGTTTCCACCTTGTGACACTGCCCGTTTCCTGGTCCTTTAACTAGAGAGATAGGCCTCTGCTTGGGGTTATTTTTGCCTTTTCCATTGGCTTTTCCGTGTTTTCAGCTTCTCCAACAGCCAGTCCAGGATGTATGAGGAGAGAGAAAACACAGGAAGTCACCACTGTGCTGTTACCTGGGTCTCCAGGTCCTCAGCTGGTCTCCATCCCTCTCCTCACCTTTCAGAGTCTTCCTCTGTTGATTTTATGTATAATGTCCAGGTTTGGGTGGAGGGAATAGAGAAAAGTATGTCTATTCCACTTTTCTGGAAGCAGAGGTCCCCTAATGATCCTCCT